TTTATACTATAAAATTCATCCCTTTAAAGTGTACAATTCAGTGGGTTTTCACAAAGTTGTACAGTCATCAACACTACCTAATTTCAAGACATTTTTAAGACCCTAAAAAGGAACTCCATATTCAGTATCAGTCACTCCCCATCCCACTCCTCTGTCCCCCAGACTCTGGCAACCACTAATCTATTTATTTTCTCTATGGATTAGCCTATTAAAGACATTTCATAAAAACAGAATCCTACAATATGTGGCCTTTTGTGCCTGGCTTCTTTCACTTATTGTAATGTTTTCAAGGTTCATTCATGTTGTAGCATATATCAGTACACTGCTTTTCATATCTAAATAATACTCCATGTACAGATATACCACATTTTCTTTATACATTCTTGAGTCAATCGACATTGTGCTGTTTCCACTTTTTGGCTATTCTGAATACTGTTGCTATGAACATCCGCGTGCAAGATTTTGTGTGGATATGTGTTTTCAATACTCTTGAGTATATATATTAAGGAGTAAAATTGCTGGGTTGTATGGTAACTCTATTTAACTTTTGAGGAACTGCCAAACTGTTTTCCAAAGATGTTGCACCATTTTGCATTCCCACCAGCAACACGTAAGGTTTCCACTATTTCCACATCCTCACTAATACTTTACCATTATTATTACAGCCATCCTAGTAAGTGTGAAGGTGTGAAGTTGGGTCTCACGGTGGTTTTGGTTTGAATCTCCCTAATGACTGAAGATGTTGAGTATCTGATTGATCAGTTGTATATCTTCTTCAGGAAAATGTCCATTTAGATCTTTTGACCACTTTTTAATTGGGTTATTTTTCTTTTTCTTATTAAATTGTAGGAATTCTTTATATATTCTGGATACTCGTTCCTTATCATATATATGATTTGCAAACATTTTATCCCATTATGTGGGTTTTTTCACTTCCTTGATAGTGTTCATTGGAGCACAAAAGTTTTCATGTTTGACAAAATACAATTTACCTATTTTTTATATGTTTGCTTGTGCTGTTGGTGTAAAATCCAAGAATCCATTGCTAAATCCAAGAATCTATTGCTTAATCCACAGTCACAATGATTTATACCTCTGTTTCCTTTTGGGAGATTTATAGTTTTAGCTCTTACATTTAGGTGTCTGATCCATTCAATTTTTGTATATGTTGTGAGATAGGAGTTCAACTTCATTTTTTTACATGTAGGTTTCCAGTTGTTCCAGGACCATTTATAGAAAAGACTATTCTTTCTCCATTAAATTATCTTGGCACCCTCGTTGAAATTCAATTCACTGCAGTCATAATGTTTATTTCTGGATTCTCAATTCTATCCCATTGATCTTTACGTCTAACCTATGTCAGAAGCACACTGTCTCTTTTACTGTAGGTTTGTAGCAAGTTTTGAAATCAGGAGTGAGTCCTCCAGTTGGTTTTTGTTCAAGATTATCTTGGCTATACTAAATGCCATGAAATTCCACATGAATTTTAGGAGCAGTTTATTAATTTCCACAAAAAGGTATTTGAGATTTTGATAAGGACTGTGTTGAATCCATAGATCAATTTGGGGACTATTGCCTCCAAAAGAAGACTTATCTTAATGTTAAGTCTTCTAATCCATTAACACAGAATATCTTTCCATTTATTCAGATCTTCCTTAATTTCTTTCAATGATATTTTGTAATTTTCAGTGTACAAAATCTTGCACTACATTTAAAAATTTATTCCTAAGTATTTTATTCTTTCTGATGCTATTGTAAATAGGATTGTTTTCTCAATTTCATCTTCAGCTTATTCAGTGCTAGTGTACAGAAATAAATTGATTTTTGTATATTCATCTTGTATCCTGCAACATTGCTAGACAAATGCATTATCTCTAGTAACGTGTGTGGGTGCATGGGTTTGCATGTGTATGTGTGAATTCCTTAGGATTTTCTATATACAATATCATGTCATCTATAAAAAGATAGTTTTACTTCTCCCTTTCTTCTCCAACCCCTTTTTAAAAAATATTTATTTTTCTTGACCAGTTGCCTTGGCTAAAACTTCCTGTACAATATTAATGAGAGTGGACATTCTCATCTTGTCACTGATCATAGGGGAGTGGTTTCAGTCTTTCAACATTAAGTATAATATCAGCTGTGAGTATTTGTAGATGCCCTTTATGAGCTTAAGGAAGTTCCCATCTATTCCTAGTTTGTTGAATTTTGTTTTGTTTTGTTTAATCAACAAAAGGTTTGGATTTTGTCAAATGCCTTTTCTGTGTCTAATGAAATGATCATGTGGGATATTTGTCCTTTATTCCATTCACATCATGTATTACACTGATTTATGTCCAGATGTTAAACCAACCATGCATTCCTAGAATAAATTCCATATGGTCATGATATATAATCCTTTTTATATTGTTAGATTCAGTTTAGTAGTAATTCACTGAAGAATTTTGTGTCTATAATCATAAGGAATATCAATCCATGGCTTTCTTTTCTTATAATGACTTTGGTTTTGGTATTAATTACTTGCCTCATACAATAAGTTGGGAAGTATTTCTTCATCCCATATTTTGGGGGGGAAAGTCTGTGAAGAATTTGTGTTAATTCTTTTGTGGATGGTAGAAGTCAGCAGCAAAACCATCTGGGCCTTGGCTTTTCTTCATAGGAAGATTACTGATGACTAAATCAATCTCTTTACTTATTATACAACTATTCAGAGTTTTAATTTCTTCTGGAATCAGTTTTGATAGTTTGTGTCTATGATCTTTTTTTTTTCCTTTTTGTCTTTTTTTTTACTGACCCGTAACGGGATCGCAACCCTCGGTTTTGCACCTGCACCACACTCAGCCAGTGAGTGGGAACCGGTCTCCACATGGGATCTGAACCCTCGGCGGGAGCGCCACCGCACTCCCAGGCGGCGCACTCTCCAGTGCGCCACCGGGCCGGCCCTGTGTCTATGATCTTTAATTCTGTGTATCATCTTGACTAGGCTACAGGATACCCAGATCAAACATTCTTTCTGGGTGTGTCTGTGAGGGATTTTCCAGATCTGATATGCATTGAATTGGTGGACTCATTAGATTGCTGTCCTCAGTGTTAGTTCGCATCACCCAATCCATTGAGGGACTGAATAAAACGAAAAGCAGATGAAGGAGGAATTCACCCCTTTTGCTTTCTGCCTACCTGTTTCAGCTGGGATAATGGTCTTCTTCTGCCCTGGGAACCACTGACTCTCCTGGTTCTCAGGCCTTCAGACTTGCACTAGAAGCACATCACTGGCTTTTCTAGGTCTCCAGCTTGCAGGTGGCAGATTGTGAGACTTCTCAGCCTCCATAGTCATGTGAGCCAATTCCTCATAATAAATTTCTTCTTATCTAGATATCCTATTGGTTCTGTTTCTCTGGAGAATCTTAACTAATACATTGACTTTATAAAAATTTGTCCAAATATCTAGGTTAACTAATTTGTTGGCATACAACTGTTCATAGTATTGTCTTATACTCTTTTTTATTTCCATAAAGTCAGTAGTAATGTCACCTCTTATTTCCTAATTTTGGGAACTTGAGTCTTTTCTATTTTTTACTTAGTCTAGCTAACGGTTTGTTAATTTGTTGATCTATTCATAGAACCAACTTTTGGTTTCACTGATTTTCTCTATAGTTTTTCTATTTTCTCATTTATTTCCCCTCCAATCTCCATTATTTCTTTCATTCACTTGCTTTGGATTTAGTTTGCTCTTTTTTTTAGTTTTTTAAGATGTAGGGTTAGGTTACAGATTTGAGATCTTTCTTCACTTTTAATATAAATGTGATAGCTATAAATTTCCTTCTAAGCATTTCTTTAGCTTCATCTCATAAGTTTTGATATGTTGTTTTCATTTTCTTTCATTTCAAAATACTTTCTACTGTCTTTTGAGGTATCTTCATTGATTTTTTTGGTTATTTAGAAGTGTATTGTTTAATTTCCACCTAATTGTGACTTTCCACAATTTCCTTTTGTTATTTATAATTTCATTCAATTGTGGCCAGATTCATTCAATTGCTTACCATCAGTCAGTGAATCTTCATATAAACACCACTTTGATGAGTTTGCTCCAGGGGCTCAGAGGCTTCCACCAACTTCATCTGTCTTCTAGATAAGATCTATTCTTTCTAGTGAGGCTGTCCAAGTTTTCACAATCTGGACAACGTGGGTTTTGACTCCAGCTTAGTTGGAACTAAGCTGTATCTATTACACAGATTCAGCTTACAGATATTAATGTTATAGAACATTATTAAGCACCTACCAAATGCTGAACTTAGAGTTAGCTCAGCAAGATACAGATAAGTAAACCTGCACTTATAATATATTATAGCCAAGAACTATGTAGGAACATCAATTAGGAAGATATCCAAGAAAGTGCCTTTGAAAAAGTATGAATAACTGCAGAATTAAAAGGTATTACTGTAGCTTTTTTTCTCTTATTTATCTACCTCTAGTATAATATGCTCAAAGGGGGTCAAATGTTAGTGGTGGCAAAACAGTTATATAATAGGCTTTCCCCCTTAAATGTAAGTATGTGTTGTGAGAATCCTGGAACTTCTGCATATGTAGGAGGCCACATAAATAGCTGTTGACCTCGTAGCATTTGTTTCCTCTTCTTTAAAGCAGGAATGACACCTACTCTGCCTAATCTCCGGGGTCAGCAGAGAATACACATATAGGGTCTTTGTGAAGTGCCTTACAAATCTCAGTTATTATCAGAACAATTATCATAAATAAAAAATAAATAAAAGTTACAAAGATATTCTTCTTTTTTATTACCTGTGTATCTCAAATCTCGGTGTCTTCATTTGAACAATGCTTTGTGCAACTTAATGAGAATAAATAATTTATTTCAGTTGAGCATTTTGTGGAGTACTTTTTATAAACAGAGTTCTATAATCACACTGTGAAAACATTAATGATTACTGATACCTCACTTTCATAATAAAAAACAACCATAAAGAAAAAGAAAAGCATTAACTTACTCTCTGCTTTTAACTGACCAAGGATGGAATTTTCTCCTCTGCACATGGTTCTGAAAATATGTAAAGGAAAGAAAGGATTATGGAGGTTTCAAAACAACCAATCCCAATTGCAATATCTGTGGGTTTAATCGTAACCCAAGTATAAACAGAATAAGTGCTTCTATGAGAAGATGCTACATATATATATATATATATTTTTTTTTTTAAGCCAAAAAAATTTACATAAATAGCACTTTTGTAATGTTACTAATGGGACAAGACAGCTGATTTGAAGTGGTTAAATGGGAAAATTATAAAATTGACCTTAGATTTAATAAAGAGAAGCTATTTTTAAAAGACAGATTTTTAATGAACTTTCCCTCTTAAAAAATTTGGTGACGGCAAAGATAAATTTTGAATGCCTCAGTAGATAAGAATACTTGCAGAATCACATTGCTTTTAGAGGTTAAAAGGGCAAACAGCAGAATAATTTAGGAACTAAACAATTATACTGACTGTCTCTGTAAAGCAGCAAAACCCTTAAAAGTGAAAAATATAGTCTCAAATAACTGAATGATTTTGTTTGTTAAGACTACGGTAATAGTTAATGAATTATAAGACTAACAAAACCAAAAATTCTATGCTCCATCTGCTTGCCCTATGAAAGTAATTAAAAATACAGTTATGCCTGGGAAAATGCTGATATTATTAAAGATGATGCCAGCAAATAGAGATGTTTTTGCATAATAAAAGGTTATAGTTTTGGTTGCTGAACAAAAACCAAACATGTCATTTCATTCAGCTGGTTCAAACTCAAGAAAATACTCATAGAAAACAATTACAATTGACAATATTCCAAAAATAATATTAGAATGGCAAATGAAGCAGATATAATCCAATTAAAATCATGTGTCTTAAATACTTGAAAATCATTGTTTGTCACATTACAAATCAGATAACATTAGAAATGGGCAAATTATTAATCCAAGTGTACAGACCAAAGTCCATGTTAAGTTCTCTCGTACTGTAACTAGAAAGAAATACCCTAGAGGAAGCAAACAAAAAAACCTTTACTTGAATCCCTCGCAGATAGAAAAAAGGTTGAAAAAAGTCAGTGAGAAACAAGAGAATTAAAAAAATTTTTTCCACCCCAGTGATGCACTCAAACTATGCACGCAGGACCCTCAGGTGCTCCTGGGGAGGGGGCCCAAGCAGGTGGCATCTAAGCCACCACCCCGATGTAACCAAGGCCCTGAACTCATCTGCCTTATACTTCGAGGTTTTGTCCCCCCCAACCCCCCAAAAGGGTTTATTAGGAAGGTGAGAAACTACAGGTGGTTCAGAAAAACCAAAGAAATTAAAAGAAAATACCCAGGTTCCAGTCTTTGCTCTGACTTTTAATAAAGAGTATGATCCTGAGCAGGGCTCTTTTGTCGCTCAGGTCACAGAGCTTATAACTGGGCTGGATTCATGCCCAGGCCTGTCCACCCACCTCTTCTCTTTTCTCCTGTTCTCTTTTACAGTTAAGTGACCCAGAGAAAGGGGAGAGGTGCCTTTCTCTGGCCGGCTGGATTCATGCCCAGGCCTGTCCACCCACCTCTTCTCTTCTCTCCTGTTCTCTTTTACAGTTAAGTGACCCAGAGAAAGGGGAGAGGTGCCTTTCTCTGGCCCGCTGTGCTGTCTCTCTATGCCTGCCCACCCAGCTGGTACCACCAGCCCTCTTCACAATGCTCCATGGCCAAATTGGAAGCCTCGAGGGAACCAAGTATGCCTTTTTGAGAGAATATGGAAACTCTGCTTTTTAAAATATCAAGCACTGGACTTACCACTTTCCCTAAAATTTTAACAATGATGTCATAGAGAAAACAAAATTAAAATTCCAGGAGATAGAAAAGAAGCTTCATGTTTCATCTACTAACAGAGGCTACTGTTATCAACCTTGTTGGAAGACTCACTACCTAAAGAATTATAACCAAACATATGCCAAATCATACCATTTTAGGCATTTAGGTTTTTTCTTTTTCTTTACTTACTGCAAAGAATATGGAAAGCTCAATAACTATTTAATGATTTAAAGATAATTTTTAATCAACATTATATATATACACACACACACACACACACACTTATATATACATATAATAGACAATGACTATAAAAGAGGGACTAATATTTTTAGTTCTTTTATACTTGCCATGTGTCTTAGGCCCACCATTTATGATTTTAGGCACATTTGAATTTTACCAACCAGTAAACAGGCCAAGATTTGAAAGTAAAATAAAGTGTTCATTTGTTCAATGTTCCACTGAATGGATGTGAAAAAACATTGTCACTCCCTTCACCAGCTGACATGCACAGTTGATTGAAAGCTCAAAACAGATGGTTTAGAATTTTGGCACCTGTAATTGAAGTGCATTATTGCCTGCAGAGCATTTCCTCCACCAGTTGAAATGTCTCCTTCAAACCCTGGCAGAAGAGGTATCACAACATACACCCGGTATCTCTGGCTTTCCCTGCAATAGTCAGATGTAGAGAAATTCACCAAAATAAAAAGTGTCAGTTTAAAACGAGAGCCAAGTAGTTCACATGGTTTTAGAGATTAAATGAATGGCTTCCTACGATACACTCTATCACATTTCAGGGCTTGGAGGGTGCTGTTGGGTTGATGGGAGTCCAGAAGCTGTTACCCAGGCTATCAATTAAGAACCTAAATAATAATCTGAACTTGGAAGCAAAGTGGGAATTGTATCCATTATCTGTAATCTTTAATCCTTTGTGGAAAAAAATTCAGTGTAAGAAAGCCTTGCTTGGGTCCCATGGAAAAGCGGGAGGGAGCGACGCATTTATAACAAAGTTTTGAAAAAAGATATTTTCATAATAGTTAAATGTATAACAAGTTATATCTGAGTACCCAGCAAATAGCAGGAATTCAGTTAATAATTGTTGAGTTCCCACAGCCTAGATCTCAGGGGCAAAAAGACACCCTGGACCCAGTATATTTTCTAATACATAAGTCATCCTTATTCAGAAACACTGAGATTTCAGCTACAAAATGTTATCTTGGGCCCTTTAAGAATTCTGAGTGAATAATGTTTATTTTTAAATCCCCTGCACAAATACCACGGTATTTCATGGCTCACTCTCTCTGATTAATGACAACCTTTGAAGGAAAAGAATTCTACTTAATCAAAAAGCAACAGAAGAAGAAAGTATAGCTCCCCACTTTGACCTGCATTCAAAAAGACAGAAATTTGAAGAATTTTGTTCAAATAGGTACCACTTATTTGGAGTCAAAAACTATTAAAAGTCCTTGTCTCAATTTATAAGATATACAGGAAGACGAGAAGGCTTGGAAATGAATGTGTTGTCACTGAGTCTTGCCAGCATGTCTGAGAGGTCTATACTCACAGAAAGGTGTTGCTACTGGTTAATTTCCTACTTAAATTTTTCATAATACTTAAATTCTAAAGCTCATTTTCTTCAAAACAACTATTTTTTTCTTTCATGTGGATATTATTACCGCTCTATGAAGGATCAGATTTTATTACGTTCTTTCTATGAGTGTCAACGTACGTATCAGGGCACATGGAAGGTGACCTTCAGGGCAGAAGCCACCGCTAACACAATGGAATTTGGAGGCCTGGGAGCTTGGAGGCAGGGATGAGAAACAAGGAATTTTAAGTAGGGTGCTGTAATGGCGTGGATTAATCACTAGATGGCAAACACAGTTTGAGTTGGAAAGAAAACATTAAAAAAATGTAAACTGTTAAAGTTCTCTGCTTGATAAGGATGAAAGGCTCACATCCCTAAATGGTAAACAGGATAGTGGAAAAGAATAGAAAGAATACCTGATCTATTTCCCTGCAGCCAGCATTGAAAAGTCCGAATGAATTAAACCAGACACTTAAAAATTGACACCGTTTGGCTTCAACTGCCTCTCCAGAATCATCTTGCAGTATGACCTTCCCATATACTTAACCACCAGTGACAGGAGACTGCTGCCCTGCACTGAGAGGTGCACCTGCCTACTGGTGCAGCTTGGCTCATCAGCTCTCTGAGCCTTGAGTGAATCCCACTTCTTTCAGGCACCTTTAAGGTCACTTCCTCTGCCAACCCATACTGGGTCTTCCTGTCCGAACCGGTTTACTCCCGCCTCTGCAATCCCACAGCATGTGGCCAGGACGTCTACTCACTTTCTGCTTTGCACAACAGTGATACACACATCTGTTGCTTAGGCTATGTGATAAGCTCCTCTAAAATACAGGACGTATGTCCACATAGCTTTCTATTGGGACGTCTACTCACTTTCTGCTTTGCACAACAGTGATACACACATCTGCTGCTTAGGCTATGTGATAAGCTCCTCTAAAATACAGGACGTATGTCCACATAGCTTTCTATTTTTGGCAGTGCTCAATAGAGGACTGTTGCACACAGCATGCAACCGGTACTATTTGCTTTGGGAGGATGAGGTCAGGTTGGAAGAATGTTTGTTTCTCAGAAAGTCTCTGGTAGAGAAGACGTTAAGCTGCATTGAACTTTTTTCTTTAAATTACATTTAATTTGAATTTTTTATTGTGATAAATATATATGTAAACTTTGTGATTTTACCCATTTTTAAAGTGCATAATACAGTAGCATTAATTACATTCACAGTGTTGTACAACCATCACAGCTTTCTATTTCCAAAATTTTCATCATCTCAAACAGAAGCCCTGTGACGGCTGCGTGATAACTACTCCCTTTCCCCTCCCCACAGCCCCTGGTAACCTGTAATCTACTTTCTGTCTCTATGAATTCGCCTATTCCAGATTTTGCCTAAAAGTGAATCATATAATACTTGTCCTTTTGTGTCTGACTTATTTCACTTAGCATAACATCCCCAAGGTTTATCCTGTTGTAGCACATGTCAGGATTCCCATCTTTTTTTATGTAAGTGAATCATATAATACTTGTCCTTTTGTGTCTGACTTATTTCACTTGGCATAACATCCCCAAGGTTTATCCTGTTGTAGCACATGTCAGGATTCCCATCTTTTTTTATGGCTGAATAGTATCCCATGGTATTTATATACCACATTCATCTGTGGATGAGCACTTGGGTTATTTCCACCTTTTGGCTACTGTGAACCATGCTGCTATCAACATTGGTGTGCAGCACCTGTTTGAATCCCTGTTTTCAGTTCTTTTGGGTATATACTCAAGAATGGAATTGCTGGGCCATATGGTTATTCTACGTTTAGCATTTTGAGGAACCACCAAATAAATTACATTTTCAAATGGGTAACATATGCTCAAGGTACAAAATTTAAGAGGCAGAAGATTATATGGTGACAAAAATTCCCTTTCAGTCCTTGTCCCCAGCCCATTTCCCCTCCCTGAGGGCAACTCTAGTTAACAGTTTCCTCCCTGTTTTTGTAGAAATAGTTTATGAATTTATAAGCATATATACATATTCTTTCCTTTTACACAAATGTTAAAACACTGTAAACACTTTTCTGAAAGTTACTTTTATCATTTAACAGTGTATCTTGGAAATCTTTCCACATCAGAACATAGAGAGTTACTCATTTTTTAACAATAGGGATACAGCACTCTACCATACATCTTTCCTTAATATTTAAACCAGTTCTCTATTGATGGCCATTTTAATTGTTTCTAATTTTTTGCTATTTTGAAATAATTACTTTGATATTTATGCTGACCCACATAAGCCATTTTTCACATTTGTTGGACAAATCTCAGAAGTTGTATTGCTGATCTGAACACCAAATCTTTCTGATGCTCTTTGTAAGGGACGGTTCCATCTTATCCTTGTGTTTTTAAAAGCAAAAACGACTTCAAAATGGAGATCATGTATGTAGGATATTGAGAAATGTCCTATATACGTCTGATAAAACATTGTTGCACATTTTAGCTTGTAGGAATCAGAATATTCACATTTTCCTGTTTTTAGGACTTTCTTAGCTCCATATTAAGGCCTTTGCTGTTTTATAATATAGCAATTCTTCAATTTCCTGAATAATAAAAATATTAAACTCTGTTCAACAAACTAGTAGAAACTACTTAGATTTTCACTGCTGTAGAAAAAAGGGCTCTGGAATTTCAAACCATAAAATTGTGATTGAATGTAAGCCAGTGAACAGAAATTCTATGTGACAGTATGTGCAATCCACCTCCTTGATCCAATCTACAGAAGACAACAGTTCCTAGCTGCTGAGGATCCTAATCTCCTTCTGAAACCACGTATCCTCAAAACATTGTAGTTGTACTAATGATAGCAATTGGCTTAGGGTAAGAACCTGAGCCCCTAATGTGCAAAATTATTTATGACCTTAAAAGCAAGATAAGAGCTAGTGGGCACTAAGCCACTGGTAACTACCCATCATTCAGGCAATCACTTCATTTACTTTAGTTCAGAATGGTTTTATAAAATTGCATTCTTAGGCTTCTGGTTAAAATAAGTTTCTTTTGAAATTCACTAACTCTTATGGAATTGCTATGTATAATAGCTAAAGAGCAGAGATAAATGTTCCATAATAGAGGGGTGGTTAACTAAATTATGTGATAGTCACTCAATGGGGATAATCATCCTGCAAACATTAAAAATGACCACTGTAATGGCTCAGTAGCAAAATACTTCTGGTACCATGATAAAATGGCCCCAATACAAAGTTACAATTATAAGATGATAGAAATATGGCAGGCTGATACTATGAAACACCAAATCATTTTTCCCCTTAAGTGTGTTAACTTCTCCCACTCTGCTCCTGGAGATATGAGCAGGCGTTGCTCCTAGGGTGGTACCCTCAGGACACAAGGCACAAAGAGGTCAACTTCTCACATTTGAAGAACTAGATAGAGATTCTCCATATTGAGGCAGGAGTGTAAAGAACAGTGCAGGGACTCTGTCCTTTGGGTTCAAGCAGGATTCCAGAAAAAACAGGAAAGATCCCAATCCCTTTTAAATATGAGGATATGAGTACCACGAGTATCTAAGCCTTGCTTCCAGGTGAACCCCGGAGAAATGCTGAGAGCGCAGCCCACCAACCCCCGTGACGTGGCAGCAGCAGGACTGAAAGAAGGCTGAAGCCCCCATTACATTAAGCAGCTGCCAGAACAGGCCCGAGAGAGATCAGTACTAAGATCTAGAAGCCCCTTCCCAGAGATCCAGGGCTGCTTTAGCATCTATACCAAGGACGGATGGGGGTGTGGAGTGAGAAGAGGGAGGCGTAGCACCCTGACTCATAGAATACAGGGCAGAAATCATGAGAAATCACTGAATGAATCTGGCCACACTTATCAGGAAGTGCCTGAACTACATTTCCTCCTACTGTATGGAAATGGAGCTGGAGCTAGAAATTCAGATGAGTTATAGGAAAAAAGAAAGTTACGATTCAACAGAAAATAGAAGTATGTATACTGTCATGGAAAAAAATAGAAAACTAAAAAGAGTGAATTTTTAAGGTCGTGACAGTGTGGGTTTTTTGGGTTTTTTTTTTTTTTTTTTTTT